GTGCTCCTGATACTTCAAATATTCATAAAATCTTTAAGCGCGAATATTCTGTAACCAGGTAGGTTTCACTTGATGAAATTTCAGAATTTGTATCAGGACAACATAAGATTAGAAGAGGTGGCACGCGAGACGGGTAGTGAGAACTGTGCTCCTGATACTTCAAATATTCATAAAATCTTTAAGCGCGAATATTCTGTAACCAGGTAGGTTTCACTTGATGAAATTTGAGAATTTGTATCAGGGGAACATAAGATTCGAAGAGGTAGCACGCCAGATGCGTAGTGAGAACGGTGCTCCTGATACATCGAATATTCATAAAATCTTTAAGTGCGAATATTCTGTAACCAGGAAGGTTCCACTTGATGATATTTGAGAATTTGTATCAGGAGAACATAATATCCGAAGAGGTGGCACGCCAGACGCGTAGTTAGAACTGTGCTTCTGATACTTTAAATATTCATAAAATCTTTAAGCGCGAATATGCTGTAGGCAGGTAGCAGGTTTCACTTGTTGGAATTTGAGTATTTGTATCAGGAGAACATAAGATTCGAAGAGGTGCCAGGCTGGTCTCGTAGACAGAGCTGTGCTCCTGATACTTCAATCATTCAAAAAATTTTTAAGCGCGAATATTCTGTAAGCAGGTACGTTTCCCTTGATGAAATTTGAGAATTTGTATCAGGAGAACATACAATTCGAAGAGGTGGCACGCCAGACTCATAGACACAGCTGTGCTCCTGATACTTCGAATGTCCGAAAAATTGTTGATCTCGATTTTATGTACTGTATATAACGTATGTACTGTATGATTGTATGTATCGTAGGTACATATGTTGTATGTTTGTGTCGAGAGATAAAGTCATTTTTAATGCGACCAGTATTATAATGTTGGTAGAGAGAGTTCCATAGTTCAATCTCATATATGCGTTTTAGTGTAAGATTTAGATTTAAGATTACTTGAGATTAAACTGTGGAATGTCCCTATGCTTTTTATGTAGCACCGGGCCATGTACAATAAATACTTGGTATTCATCAAGTTGAATGCCGAGTTGTTTGCATGCAATGGAGAATAGATGGGAGTAGGACTCGTAGTGGATCCCGTGCGTAATCACCTCCTCGTGGTGACACCTTGTAATTGATATCATTTTACTAACATTAAAGTTCGTAGAAAATATAATATATATATTTCAATTGCTGTAGTTTATTAAGTGATCAATGATGCATCTACAGTACGTGTGGAAAGTTTATACTGGATAAGTATGGGTAAGTATTCGTATGTTAACTTAGTTTTAAGTGAATTATAATGAAATCATTTCCAACACTTGTGGATAATTCATGGATACTGGGTGAGTATAGGTAAGTATAGGTAAGTACATTCGCAATCGAAATTCCAATAACTTTGAAATTTCTGTATGTTTGCAAACATTGGTCTGTTTATTTTGGTTCCCAATGTTTATTTACATTTTTTCGATTGTTTATTTTGGTTTCCAATGTTTAGTTACATTTTTTTGACGTCAACACACGTTGTTTTCTAAAATTTTCGAAAATTTGCAGTCGGGATCTCGAGAACTTTGAAATTTCGCTTTGTTTGCAAACACTGGATTGTTTGTCGTTAATAATATTTCTGTACGTAATAATGACGAAATAATGTTCGCTTACCCGCTTCTGAATTCTCCTCTCCTAAATGCAGCAGGCTGGCTGTGCCACGCGTGTGGCAGGTGTGCCTGTTGCGTAGGTAGTGGCACGGCCAGGTCAACCGGTTGGCTCTGCGACCTTGTCGGAGCGGTTCTTCCGTTCAACGCCGTTTGTAGGGCTGTCGCCAGAGCGGATGTGTCCGACGTGACCGTCATTCGTGACGTGCCCGAGGAGGTTGATGTTGGCTCTTTCGTTGGAGGTCTGCTGCAGATGGAGAACGAACGAATTACTTACGTCTAAATCGCGATCAATTAGCGGCCGCTGGCGTCCGCTATGAGTAGCAGCGAAATATACTTGAAGCACGTGATTTATGTACAAGGGGATTCGGTTAGGCCTCTAATTCCTCTAAGTGTCCCGAACAGTGTCGCAAGTCTGTCTGATTTGGGACTCCTATAGAAAAAATCCGCGGTATGTTAATCTCTGACATCGACATTGTTTAAGAGTTTTGTAGCTCTACTGAATCGTGGTCTGTATTCGAACGACTCGATCGTTCTTGTTCTTTGGTAACGCTGGTGTACCGCAAAAGGAGCACGAGTCTTGAATTCAGTGCTAAAAGGTAGATGGTAGAATCTCGATAGTTGTGGAGAAATGGAAACTATACAGGAGTGATTGAGATTCGAAGTTCTTCTCTCTTTTATGTTTACTTTTTCATTGCTTGATTGTTGCACGAAGAGAAAGAGAGAAAGAGCTTTGAGAATTCTGAGAGTGGCTCGAGGACGTTGATCGCTATTTTTCTGAGGATATAGATCAATTTCTTTGTAGCCTGTTAACTTTAAATGTAACCTGGATTAATCTTTTTTTTAGTTGGGAATCATTTTCATAAGTAGATAGTTATAAATATCATCGATTAGGTCAGATTTATTAACTATTGTGGCTAGACTGTGGATTTTTGTACATTTACAAGAAATGTTAAAGTTTTGTAAGAGATGTTTTATTTTTTGAAAAAGTGTTCATATTTATACTTGCAGTTGCTCTTTGTATAATAATAGTGAAGATTTTTAATAATAATTAGAAAATATCTTTATCGCAGTATGCTTGTAATATGATAAAGTGTTTTTTAATAATTAGAAAAGGTTTAATGGAATTGTTTGCTCTATAGTAATTTTCAAGTAAAATATAGTATAGAAATTGAAAAATTATATGTTGTGGTTTCAATCTAAATTTAAAATATGGCTAAGAAACGTAGCAAGTTAACAGGTTGAGGATAAATCACAAAGCTTGACAATCGGAGAAATGGGAGAATCTTAAAAACCAAGGAGATCAACAACGATTTCTCAAAAATGTATGCCATCATGCAGCACGCAATCTTTGGGTTGTTTAAAAAAACGTCGTCAAGATCCTTCGTCCACACTTGCATACAACACATCTGTGTATGCACATCTCGACAATTGAGATTTTGATACTATCGAGACTGTACTACTCTTTACTAAACGAAACTAGCAAAACATACGTATGCTTGTGCACTAATGAAAATTTATGTCCTACGTAGTGGCGATTCATACTCGCGGGAATCAGCTACAAATTGAATCTCTTACCTCTGTCCATCGTGATGGGATATTTTTAAATTGCTATGAAGGGAAGTTGCTGTTAAGGTGTAGCAAAGAATGAAATTGTCGTGTGAGTTAATAATTCAGACGAACGAAAAAAAGAAAATTGATTCTCTTACGAAAAATTTTGCATAAAACCACCATCGCCGCGTGTTTAGTATTGCTAAAAAATATTTGAAGGTAACTGCTGAAATTCAATATTGCCAACACTTGAATAATTTTTAAAGGTTTTTTTTTTCAAGAAATTAATATCTCATTTATTTTTCACTTGATTTCGTTATTTATTATACAACAACCCATAAATATCAAATTTAAAAGTACCTCGTTCTTCAATTTCTTAATTTTGTATCTTCTTAAAAAGAAGGAAGTTTGTATGTTCGTAATTAAAAATGGCTACCAGTATTAATTCTTGCAAGTCAATATGAAAAATTTGATAACAGAATTTCAAGATAAACGTTTTATTTAAGTATCGTAATAGTATTAACTGCAAGCATTGTTTAAACGTTCCTCCTATCATATGAAAGGAAAAAGAACAATGAAAAGCTTCTTCTAAAACAATGTTCCTTCAAACAATATTTCAACAATGATATCATAACTTTTCGACATTGTTAATGAGCAAACGAATCGAGAAAAAGAAATAAAACAGCCTGTGACAGCCCCGCGCGTTCAGCGCCAGGCAAATAAATAGTAAAAAAGAACATCGTCTACGCACGCGTCGTATGAAAAAATGCTCTCGATCGATATTCTAATTAAAGGAACAGAAAGTTGAAAAGAAAATCGGTTCAGCAAGTTACTTGAAACAAGGGTATCAATCAGAAATAGGTAACCTAACGAAAGATCTAGCGCTAATGATCGAAGAGAATCAAAAAAAAAGGAAGAGAAACTGAAGGAAAAATTATTCTAGAAAGTGTCTCAAAATGATTCTCGAATTTAAATGTCGATGTCAATTGTTCACTCTAATTGAATTGCAATATTAATAAATTTAGAAAAAAAAAAGAAGTGAAATACAAAGGAAATTATAAGGACAGAGAGTTAATTAGTAGATAAGGAGAAAGAGAGACAAAGAGAGATAGAGAGACAGAGAGAGAGAGAGAAAGAGAGAGAGATAGTGAGATCACTCAAACGTGAGAAATTAGCGGTAATTTGGGAAAACGTAGGAAATACTAGCAGCGTTACTTCTTTTTTTTTCCCCCACGCAAATTTCTCATTTTCTTTTTTCTTTTTTCGTTTTGGTTTGAATACATTCATGGTATAACAGTTCCTATATATTCTGTTTCTACTTTCGCGACACTGCTCGCAAAAAAAAGGGTTTCAAAGAAGAGTATGAGAGAGTATGGTCACCTTCGGAACTTGTCCAACCTTTCCAAAATAAAAGACGCCGAAATCAAATGCAACTGATCCAGGGATTTCGAAAGAAAGCTTTCCAAGAATAAAAACATCGATTACTTCCTAGGAAAAACAGAATCAATTTCTACTTGAAAGACACAAAGAAAGAAAGAAAGAAAAAAAAAAGAAAAATGAAACGTAGAAGAAAGATAGAAGATAGAGAGAGTAGAACGATTTGAAAGAGCATGATTTTGTTCTACGATTCCTGAGATATCGATCGCTTTCATGTCGATTCGAAATGAAAGAAAGACAGAAACAGAGAGAAAGAGAAAGAAGAATACACGTATAGAGAATGAGAGACAAAAAGAGAAAGTGAGAGAGAGAGAGAGAGAGAGAAAGAGAAAGAGAGAGAAAAAGAGAGAAAGAAAGAAACAGAGTAAGAAAAGACACATCTGTTACATCTGCTATGACAAACAGTCTAACAATAGGGCAACGTGTGAAAAAGATGGCATTTCTTTGAAATTTTCAAACAAAATTATAGGACGTCGAAATGTCCAAACGAATTTTCATAATTTTACTCTAAACATCTCTACTGTACGTATATTAGATGTAGAAGTTAATTCGGTGCCTTTATTTTCAAATTAATCTATATCTGAGAGAATGACAAATTGAAGAGAATATTCGTATTGGCAATTGAGAGTTGAAGTTACATTATATTCAAAAATTTCGAATTCAGATTAATGCAACAAGCACAGAATTGATTTCTACACTTAACAGACAGACAGCTTCAATAAACAAATAAATTTCCAAAAGCCCACAGCAGAACAAACCAATCTCACTTCATTTTATTATTCGACGCCAATTTTATCACAAACATGGACGACTATCGCCTAAATAAATCGTCCAAAATTCAAAATAATCCTTATCCATATCCCAGTATACCTTTAATATTTTTTTTCTATTTTATTTTACACTTCTCGTTCGATGACCTTACTGTTACCATTCTTTTTACCACGTTACCGCGGGAACCACAGAATTTCTAGTTCACCGTGAATCGCGAATACTCACCTGAACAAACTGTGAGACGTGCTAGGCTGCAGCTTTCCATTTCCATTGCTCGACGGCGGACCTGTCGGTGGTTGTGGTTCACTGGCCGACCGTTGGACTAATGCCGGAGCTCTACTACTGCTTTGCTTCGACAGCCCAGCCGATGTAGTTCCAGGCATCATCTCGATGCTGGAACTTTCCCTCGACGAGTTGAGCGTCTGTTGCAGCAGAGTCAAGATCAACCTGATGTTCTCTCCCATAGAATGCTCCAGCGAGGATACTTGTCGCGACAGCTGGTCTATTCTCGCGTTTATCTCTTCTACTGGCCGGCCTGGTCCACTCTGAAAGTCACCTGAAATTCAAAATAATTCGTATGAACAATCCGTCCAATCGGAATTCGACGAATTTTGGATGGTTTGAAATTAATTACACTAATCAGTGCATTGCATTGGGTACAATTGATTGGTAAAGTAGTTCGAAACTTTTGGCCAGTTCTGTTCTAAACTCAAGTATCTTTTCTTTCGACGTTTTGGATAAATTTTGCAAAAGTATCGTCGAAAGTCTAGGTTAACAGAAGTGCACATTGAAAATATGTAAAAATAGAGAAGAATTTATCTATATTAACATCGAATGATAAAATCTAAAACTAATTTAATGTAGATGCAATAAAAATAATTCACTTTCTATTTATTCTATTTTTAAAGTTTACAAAGAGAAATATTACCGTCTTTTTACTTGCTTTTATTTTCTATTAAACATTTCTTTGATGATAAATTTATACAAAAATTAATACATAAATATCATATATGTATGTAACCTGTGATAGAAAAATATGAAACCTATTTCCATAACGTTTCGACATGTGCTTGCAGGAAATTTAAAAATGTTACAAAAATATTAAAATAAAGTTAGTGCACAAATTATAAATAATCACACGTTAGAAAATATCGTAAAAATTCCTCTTTCCCATATTAAAAACATTCAAACACAATCGTCTGAAATAAAACGAGTCTGAACTGTTGTACACCACCAAAGTAGAGAGACGATAAATCTATAATATATACAATATATCAATTCTCGTCTTGTACTAGCTGCAATTTTCCAAGAAGAAAAAAAAAGAGAAGAGAAAATTCCTCCCACACGACACAAACACACAAACGGTTCACGAGCAAAAGTTACTGATACTCCCCGGAGGAGAGGGGGGAGGGGGGGGGGGGAGATACATCATAAGGGACACGTTGAACACAGAAACACAGAATCCCACGCACCATGAGACTGTGGATGTTGCGGTGGCGATGGCGTGGTATAGTGACTGGATGTCGTCGATGTTGGATGCACGGCGTTCTGGCTGAGGGAGCTTTCGCCAGCGGCCGAGCTTCTTCGTACTGGCTTCGTCAACGGCGTGGTCACTGGATAAACCCAGGCACAGAATCAGTACCGCGACCCGGGAAGTTGGAACACACACACGAGCCATCCTAACTTCTAAAAGTGCCTCTTATCTCCAAAGTAAAAACGAAAGAAAGAAAGAAAAGAGGGGGGAGGACAGGGAGGTAGCGAGGAACAGAAAAGAAAGAAAGAGTGCCAGAGAAGAATAGAGACAGAGATAGATAGATAGATAGATAGATAGATAGATAGATAGAGAGAGAGAGAGAGAGAGAGAGAGAGAGAGAGAGAGAGAGAAGGAAAATAAAAAGAGGTTCGAAAAATTCTTGTAAAAGATGTTAAGTCTAGGGGCTTAATTGTACAATCGTGACCCGCCGGTTCTCTTCAGCCAGTTGATTATATGCGAGGTATAACGTTGTGCGTTCGTTCTGTCGATTTAGAGATAGGTGTGTGTGGGTGAAGGGGGGAGAAGAAAGATACTTGGCCAAAGACTACTTCTGCCGAATGGATACTTACTCTGCTTGGCAAGGTAATCGTGACTCGTCAGCGGTTGAAGATGGATCTTGTGTTGACGTAGGTCCGGTATGCTGCGCTTGAGATGGGTTAGCATGCCTGAACAACCAGGTTTCAAGGTGTTAACGAACTCGGGAGTCAAATGCAAACGCAAAGCTGCACGCTTAACCCAAACGCCTCCGGTCGAGCTCTTACAATTAGCTTTGGGACCATTTTCAGATGGAGGAGATGGACGGGCTTGAAAAGAGTGTGTCAAATAACTAGAAAACATTCGGGAATATTACGGAGATATTTACGGAGGCAAGAATATTTTAGAAAAAGGTACAAATTTAGAAGATTTTGCTCGGATTTTTCTTGCGAAAATCCAGGGAGAATAATTTATAGTTATTTAGGGATTTGAAACTAACAATTCAGAGATGTTTAGAAGCCCCTTTTCAAGCTCGTCTTTTACTCAAGAAGAAGGAACAATCCCCTTTCGTTTGTATCTAGATTTGCCACTGCGCTCTATTAAATTCAATTAAATACTCAATTAATTTCAATTTCATTTGAAGAAAAGAAGAAAGAGTAATAATATTGGCGATCTTGAAATCTTCGGAGAAAAGTCTTTGTCCTAAGAAAATTTACTACAGTATGTACAGAAATATTTACAGAATTTGTTTTTGATTATGTACAGAATTTAAAGACTTCAAGATCACATTGAAGATTATATCCTCGATAAATTCGTCGATGAAGGCGATTGGGCTAAGGGGATGTTTTAGCGGATAGAGAAAACAGGGAGAGATAGAAAAAAAAGAAGGTGAAAATATGTCGATCGAGAGAAGCACGTGGAAAAATGATCTACGCTACGGAGACGAGATCTTATATATATAAAGAAAAAAAAAGAGAGAGAAAAAAATGTCTATGGAGGAATGAAGATCTTTATGAAACACGAGCAAGTAGTAATTGAATCAACATGAGTCTGACTGAGATTGTAATCTGGCGATCGTGAAGTGGAAAGGGGGATAGATTTGTAATCTTCGTGGAAATTTTCTATTTTCTATATATCTCATCAACAAGATCTCTAAATATCGAAGTCGAATTGCGAGTATTTATGACTAGACTGTGGATTTTATATTCAAAATTGCTTCAAGTATTAAATATTGTAAAGAGCGTTGCAGTTCAAATATTTTATTCTTTAATTGACGAATAAAAATTTGCAGTTCATTTTATGAGAAAAATGTATAAGTACATGTACTTGCAGATATGCAAAATGTTAATAATAAGTTTCAGTTTGTTGATTTATATATATAAACATGCATGGATATTTGTTTCACTCTAAAATTTTTACATTGTAAGAACAATTTCATAGAATTATTAATTTTAACAGTAAGATTGCCAATATGAAATGTAGAATTGTTAATAAGAAAAAAAAGAGTTTTGTTCAAGTTGTAATCCATTGATCTAGATAAACATTCGCAGTCTATTTACAATCATTCATCATTAATGAGATTTCTTTCAAATTTTTACACTAAAAGAATAATTTCATAGAGCTACTAATAGCAGAATGACTAATATAAAACACAAAATTGCTAATAAAAGAGAAAATAATACTGCTCAAGTATTTATAAATTACATTTCATTGTTTTACATAAATATCCGCAGTCTATTTACAGCAGTTCATAAAATTCCTTTAAATTTTTACACTGAGAAATTAATTTTAATTTTAACTACTATAGTAATGCATAATGTAGAATCACTAATGAAAAAGTAAAGATTTTTGTTTAATTTGCAGTTCAATGACTTACACAAATATCTGCAGTCTATTTACAACCAATTCGGCATCGGCGAACTTTTTCCAAATTATATTATATAAAAGGAATAATTTCATAGAGTTGCTAATAATGAAACTAATATACATGTAATATAGAATGACTAATGAAAGAGAAAAGAGTTTTATTCAAGTTTATTTATTCAATTATTGCATGAACATTCTATCAGCCTATCAGCATACAAAAAACGTTCCTTTACGATTTCATGAAAATTATTACAACAAAATCAACATCACAGAATTACTAGTGAAGGGATAAATTTATCAAACGAGAGAATACTAGTAAGCTCTTCCAGCGGAATAGTCGTTCTCTTAACGAAGCTGATTAAAGCGAGCGAAAGAAAAAAAAAAAAAAAAAACAAAGGGGAAGAAAATTGCACAGTATTCAAATCACATAAGATGTTAGTAAGAAAAAAAGAAAAAAGGAGGATAATTCACTATCCCACCGCTTCCACTCCAGGACTACTGTATATATAATAGTTATATTAGAGGAAAACTGCGATTACTGCACTCTGCGATGTAAGATTCGGAATTACCTTTTCTCGCAATAGTGTTGTTATCCGGTAAAATCGTCGGAGATTTCGAAATGGTCCAAACTCGTGTAACGAGTTGAGTAATAAATATACAAGAGATAGAGATAGAGAGAGAGATAGAGAGACAGAGAGAGAGAGAAAGAGAGATAAAAGGGATAAAAGGGGCAAAGCCGAGCTTCTCAATAAAATATATATACAACGTTCCGAGAACTGTATCAGGCTTGGGCATTGTCCAAATGATATATTACTTCGAGAATGATGAATCGAATAATATATCATTTTATCTGGCTGGAGATGTTATTTGAAATAATTATATTAGTTTATTAGTTAATTTATTTGAGAAAATGATGAAGATTTTTCTCTGTTAGGCGTAGAAATTAACACAATGCCTTTTTCAGACGATTTCGATAATTTGAAAAATTGTTCCCTGGGGCGCTGTAGAACAAGTTTTTAAATTTGAGGAGAATTTTTCGTTTGACAATTGTTCGACTTCCTCCACTTTCCAATTTTCAAATTTTTATGGTAATACTCGGATTCGGGCACGTTTAAATGATCGTTGAGTTGAAATTGAAAGTCAAAAGCAATATATTGTTTTAATGATCTATTTCGCGTTTTATAACTGTGGCGATTTACATGATACTTTAAAATTCTACACAAAGGCATCGAACTAATTTCTACAGCTATAATATTTTTGATTATTTTTGGTTATTAAAAGAAATTGATAAGGCTGTTAAAGGAAGTATTATTTTATCTTTATTTGAATGAATTTTATTAAAATAATTGTCAATGACGTCATAGTAGCAAGTAAAAAGTATTGAAAATAATTTTATTGAAATAAGATAGTACTGGGAAATTTATTTCATTCGACAATGATCCATACATGTATATTTATTCGTAATAACTAATATATATTAAAAATATTTATTTAAAATACATAAGAATTATTAATTGAAATAATTAATTGAAATAATTGTTTAAGAAAACATGAGAATAAATAATTGCGTGGAAAATCATTGTGAATGCTTCTATTTTTTATTTCAAACAATTATTCCAAATTTATTTCGATATATAACATGTATAATTAAAACATTCAGTGAGTAAAACTTGTGTAAAATTAAACAGACGCTTCAAATAATATTTCAGTGAATAATTATTTCAAATTAATCAACACTGTGTGGGGAAATTGATTGTTATTCTTTGTTTAACCCAGCACTGATAGCGATCACAGATACGGATTTTAAGTTATTCGTCATCTTATTAACAAATGAATTTTATTTCACTTTCTCCTCTGAAGTAACAAATAACAAATTAGTTGAAATAATTCGTTACTCCAAACTTGGTCGGTTCTCGTTTTATTTCAAATAAAACGTGCCCAAGCCTGGACTGTATCTAGGCCTCTTGAAATACTTTTTATAATGACAAGCGACATAATCGATGATGGCGGATCTTTGCGAAGCATTGACTCAAAAGTACCTTCCTGAATCATAAGGATCTTCCAACGTCCACGTGTATAGTAAACGTTCGAAACCGAGTAAAATCGAAATATTGAGAGAATATTTCTATATGTCGTGCAGAGAACAACATTCCTCAGACAGTAAGGCAAACAGGAGAGACAGAGAGGAAGAGAAAGACAGAGATAAATAGATAGAGGGAGACATATTCATATATATATATATATATGTATATAGACAGAGAAAGAGAGAATCGGTAAAAAAAAGAGGGCATTACTCCGAATGAAAAAGAAATCGAGTAAAAGAGAAAGAGAAAGAGAGAGAGAAAGAAAAAAAAAAAGAAAGAATCGATCGACCGTGTACGTGATTTTTCTCTCACCGGTTATGGAGTTCAGTGTAGAGCTTCTTTGCTTTGGCTCGTCGAACTCTAGGTTCAATGGTGTTACGTCTTGGCCGGCTTTGTCGGTACTGAACTCCAGAATGCCATGACCACTTCCTTTGTCGCTGTTTTTTTTTTTTCGTAACAAGAAACGAATATGAACACGAGTTTGAATAATGGTGGGTTTAGATTGATCAAAGTTTGGAATGCTCGTTCGTTCTTCATTTCGACGAATTCGTGCTCGTTTCACCTCTCAGGGATGATGATTTAGATTTTTTGATAATTAGGCAGGTTCATAAATCGATGAATAATAATTTTTAGAGCTTCAAATGGTTCATATATTATTAAATAAATTTAATATTGTTTTGAGTACGATCTATAAACATCGTTCCTGAAAGGTGAATTATAGTGGCTGATTAAAAGTACACGAACGTCTATTATAAAAGATCTTTCATAAATATATTATGTATTTTATGTTAACATAACATTTTGAAGTTCTATTAACACTGTATGAGACATTGGTAAAATTTAGACTCAATCTGAAAATGTAGAATAAATGTAGAATAAAATAGAAATTAAGTGATATTCAATGTTAACATATATTTAGTAAAAATTCAGTACGAGCAGTCATGTTAAGCACATAATAAGTATTAAAGCTAATCTTACTGGATATTGACGAACTGTGGGTCTTTAAATACTCTTATGATCTTTGTGATGAAATATATTAAATATCTTATAGTTTGCATTAAATATTTCTATTAAATATTCTTGTAATACATACATATATCTAAATTTGTTTCAAACCAATGGAATCATGATAATTTTCGTGAAAAGATATATTAAATATCTTATGATTTTTATACATATTTTAAAATTTGTTTCAAACTTGACCAATATTATATCGGATCTCATTCTACTTGTCTTATATTGTCTTGTATTATAACTTTTATAATTTCATGAAAGTAGAGAACGAACGAGGATGAAGATCTGATTTATCTGTAAGTTTTTCGATTAAAGAATTCTTACTAGTCTTCCTGATCACCCTGCAAGGAGTCTTGTCGACCAGTGGGTATAAGATTGGTGCCAGGACCACCGGGTCCTCGACGGTATCTTGGTGGACGGAAAGCGAATCTCCTAGCGTCGACATCGACGTCCGTTGGAGTACTGACAGGAAACCTTGCTGATATTGGATCGACACCAGCCTGTTCTTCCTGCAAATCAATACAAACTCTCGTTAATTAATCATTGACGATTAATTCGAATTAATGACTAACATACTGACATTAAGAATTTGTATTCGAGTCGAGAGATTCGCAATTTACATTTTTAAGAAATCGGAGAAGCAGATTTACTATTTCTCTCTAGTACTGAAATTCACGATTGCACTATTTTTAGGTCGATCAATTCTACGTTTCATAAATTTCTCACTATTCGAAGATAATTTTCAAAGACAACGAACAATGTAATTTAGAATCTCAAGACTCTTCATCGTTCATGTTAACATTAAAAAGGAGCGTCTGTAACAAGTTTGGAAAAAGCATAATTAATAATTAAATTTTCCAGAAAATAATATAACTTGATACTTCCTTTAATTGAAATTTCCCTCTTTATCAATTAAATTGCGAATCACGAATAGAGAAGAGCACAGAAAGTGTACGTACGTCTCTCAGATTAAACGTGATCTCGAGATTCTGGCTAAAGTGATTGGAAAACTCCGGATAAAGGGCCAGAACGTCGAGTAAATCGTCCCTGTGTATCTTGTGCAGATCGCAGTACGTCAATGCGCGCACGTTGCATGACGCTTTGCCAACGGTCGGATATATGCAAGGATTCTCCCCGAATATGTCGTCCTTGGCCAGGATCGCCATCACCACGTCGCCCTTCAATATCTCTATGCTGCCGCGCGATATGAAGTACAGGGACGTTAACACGTCTCCTCGATGGACCAACGTGTCACCGGGCGGTGCGTGTGTCGTTTTAAATTTTAATGATAACGCCCTGACGAAGAGAAGAGGGACAATTAGTTATAATATAATTAGTCAATTAATTAAATATAATTCATTACGTTTATACATACACATTATTCATAGTGTTTATATACTATTCTGTTATTTCATATTGTTTTATTTATTCATTATATACATTAGGTATTTTATATTGCTATAAAATTGCTACCATTAATTATTAAATGTATATTTATATTATTTAAACATTTAAACGAGTAATGTTTATATAATTGATTAATTCTGTATGCTGAGCTACAAAAATTATATCTATATCTAATTTTATATAATTCTTTAATCATTCATGTAATTCTGATAATTCTAATTTTAATTTATATAATATATATAATCTATAATTTTTTAATAATTCATATAATTCTTTAATAGTCAAAGAAATATAATCTAAGTGCTGAAAAATCTAGTTATTATTTAGTGATCCTTCAATTTCGTGACTTTCAATAATTCGTACCGTCGATGAATATTATACTTTAGTTTAAAATTTCGCTAGATATTTACTTCACACAGTTATAGTAATACCTTAAACAACCAGGACTGGCACCCTCGAAGGCTCTACAGTTGTTTAAAAGATTTCTATTCAAATGAAGACAGATGTCCGCCTGAAGGCACTCGGGGAATCCTTTTAGAACACTGTTCATATCGATTCCGTTCGTGTACGTCCAAGCATGTTGAAAGTACTCTTCCAACCGTTGACGAAGCGGATTAGGGATCTGATGGAACTTGATGAACTCGCGAACTCGAAGCATCTGCGTGTGGTATCTTGCTGTACCACTGTAAAGCCTCTGAATAATCGCCGAGACGTTACCGAAGATGCTGGCGTACATTAAAGCTGGAACAAAGTGAATTGATTAATTATAATTTGTGGACAAGTTAGAATTATTTTCTAATTTGCTTAGCAGAATTAATTGTAATATATAATAATTATTATTTAATTCTTTATAATATTGTATTATATCAAAATATTGTAATATATAATAATTATTATTTAATTCTTTATAATATGTAATTCTTTATAATATGTATGATATATCTATTAAAGTTTACAGAGATGTATTATGATATAATTCTCTGTAATAAACAATAATTATTATACAATATTCTTAAAATTGTTACAGTAACATAATAATTAATACACAATTCTTTATATTCATGTTATATTATATATACGTAATTCTCTCTCTGTACAATAAATAATAATTATTAGTAGCAATTATCAGTGAAGCGTCCAATGATAAATATATTTCAAATCAATTAAATATACAACGTTTCAAATTTTGAAGAGTGGAGTGTTTTCTTGCGTCAAAGAGAACCAGATTCAATTACATTCATAGAAACATAAATTTGCATCAACGTTCTATTGATAATTATTATCAAGTTCAAAAGTGTCTATTAATAATTATTATTAATCAAGTTCAAATGTGGTAAAGAAAGAGAGGAGAGGCAACATTGATTAACCGAGAGGCTCGTGACAACTCACTGACACGATTACATTATTCTGGTCGATACTTACATCCGATTAACATAACGATTATAGTAAATATCTTCTCGGCGTCGGTGTTTGGAGCCACGTTTCCAAAGCCGACCGATGTTAAACTACTAAAGGTGAAATACAGTGCTGTGATATAGCGGCTCTAGAAAATGGACAAACGGAAGGTATTTAGTCGGAACGATCGATCAATGGGATTGTCATTCGATTCTTTAATAGAATAATAAAACGAGCGTTTTGATCGGTTTCGTGTGACGCGTGATTGGCCACGAAAAAACGACGTGAATTTAAAGTGAATCTAGCATTTCGTGAGATTATTCATACCCTTATACTCGGCCCTCCGGTGTTGTTGTGAAAATAAAATTGATGCGTGTCGTTGGCCAGGATATCCAGCCAGCCGACTTTGCTCTTCAACGTTGGCCTCTCCGCGTTTCCTATGGCGTACCTTCAAACGAAACGATTACAATTTTATTTCACGAAACATTTCCTGTTTGACTTGTACATTATTTCATTTCCTTCGCTTATTTTATTTTATTTCTTGCTAGTTGTAATTGAAGAGTTCGAAAGCTAGTCAGTGTGAATTATTTTTTATCAAAGAAAAACTATGCAGACATATTTTCAGTCAATGGGATAATTTTTCTGTAATTTTCTGTAATTGTTATATTCATACAATTTGCATTATGTTATATTCTATAATTAATAAATTTATGTAGTACATTGTCACAATTAATTAATTATATGATTATATTATATTATAATTTACACATGTCATATGCTATATTCATACAATATATTTATAATTATATATTTATGTAACAATCATATTATTTATACTATTATTATATTCACATTTATGATATGATTATATTAACTGTTTTCATCGACTGACGAAGATATTTGCATGTTGTGAATTGCTTTTAATATGATGTGGCGTTTGAACCCTTCATCAAATTTCTAAATATTTCGTTTCCAAGTCGGTTTATTTTATGAATTATCATTTCCAACCCTTAAATGTATGATTTCGCCAAGTGAAAAAATATAAGGAACACATTTTTCTATTTGAATGTCAGAACAGTGTTTCAAATTGTCAGATGCCAAGATACAAGACTTAGAAACGTTGCTGAGGTTTTGTACAAATCAAAAATTACATTATCACGATATTCAAAGTGCCATTTTTCTATTTCATATTATCTTCTGAAAATAAGATACTTTCAACAAAGAATAAAATTAAATTAACAATATTTAATATGCGGAGTTTATTAAATTTTAATCGACAATTTAAAAAATTTTCAAATTACATTTCATTTGATTTTCATGGACAGATGTACGTTGTCAAGTGAAGACATTGTACATTTAAGGGTTGCTGTTTGAAATTTCTTTAGAACCGCGAGACTCACCATATGCACGCCATCCAATGGGCACTAAGAGCAAAGGTGCCCATCAAAAGGAGTAAAACCGCGGCTCCGTACTCGCTGTACCTGTCGATCTTCCTGGCTACTCTGACGAGTCGCAGAAGACGAGCCGTCTTCAATAGTCCTATCAAGGTGGTCGTCTGCAAAGAACACGTCACACTTTGTCGATCTCACGCTCGGCCGTACGACACTCTTGGTTCTTTACTCGAGTATTTCCGTCGAAGCTAAAGTGAACTGACTTTGGCCATCAATCGAACATTTTCATTATTAATTTCATGTTTGGTGAATGTTTCGTGAAAAACGCGGACGTTTCCTTTCGAACTCGATCACGTCTAATGTTGAAACTCGTTTCTTTATTTTATATTTTTGAAAAAATCAATTGAATAAAGTAATTTTCTGCAGTTAATGAAAGTTTATATCTCCTTTGAATATTGAATATGAAGGTTTACTTCAGGCCTGTGAATATTATAACCGGGCTGCGAACGTTTATTTAATCTATTTCTGGATTTAATCTTTAATTTTGATTATTTAATTCGTTGACTTGTTTCGTGAATGTAAAAGCAAGTACAAGAAAATTTTTTAAATATAAATTTATACATCTCTGAATATTGGAAATTTTACTTTATCAATATTACAACTAGGCTGCAGTTTATTTAATTCATTTTTCAATTTAATTTGTAATTCTTTATGGTATTTCTTAGTAGTAAATTTCCTTCATTTATGAACAATAAGTATTATAACAATAAGTATTATAACAACGTATTATATAACGTAAAGTTTTGATATATTTATAGGAAATTTGCAAAGTTCTTCCACAGAATGCACGTGACAAGAAGTAAATATACGAAACATCCAAATTTTTTTATATTTAATGTTCTAGAAAAAAAAGTTCTATTCTTTTTAATTATATTTTAAAAAGTACAGGCATAAAAATCCGCAGTCTAATTATAACAAATACTTTAATACATTCGAGACAATCTCAGTAGCCTGGAAAAATAACTTTTTCTTCCTTATATATTTTCGACGTCAATCTGTCACTATAAATTCACGTTATTATGTACTTCTGAATCTAACAACATGATATTTAATAACAGAAAAAGAATTTCTCATTCTAATTTCCTTTTTAACACAGAAATCGTAGTTCTCATATCTATTAATTAATTAGCGTTAATTTAAATTTTTCTCTATTTTCTACTCACCGCAAGTATGATAAACATTCGCAGTCCAGTTACCACGTCATACTGTTCTACATGTTCTACATGTTAGACTCTATCTTGGTCGAATACAGCGACCCGTTGGAAACGTAATAAATAATTGATCCGGCCTAGATGCACAAACGTTCCACAGCTAACAATGAGCATTCCACGTAATCAATCTTCTTTTCTTTTTCCTTTCTTTTATATCGAACCGTCTTTACCATTGTTGCAACAATTGCCAAAGTCAGTTTGACAGTCTGAGTTATTGCCGTAATCGTTGGTTCTCTGACGAGGAATCTCTAGCACGCCGACTGTCGTTCTCGAGTTCGATCGATCGAGACGTCGCGTCGGTCACTTTTAGGTCAGCCAGAAGCTTCGCAATATTTAATATCTTTTCTATAAAAAGCGATCCGCAATATCTGTAATATTTTGTTACTTTATTTCTATTATTCTCAATAATACGGTCAATAATTAATAGCAATAAAATATAACGATTAATAACTTTCAACGATAATTTCAAAAATAACTTTCAATATGTTGTTCTACGACATTTCTTTCTTGCTATTTCATTCTCGTTAATTTAGAGAAAAATTTATTTTTAGGAACAGCCAAAATTTAAATTATTAAAAACACAATTATATATCGATTGATAAACATTACTCTTTTTTGGCCTGTTTTTTTTTTTTCATCTGTATTACATTATTCTCTGATATTTGCTTTTTTTAAAAATCATCTAACAATCACGAAGGAAAAGAATGAAACAAATTTAATTTTTCGCTTCAACGTTGAAATTTGCATTTACAAACATTTTGTGTTAAAAATGCAGATGGTGGAAATTGCAGAAACTTCGGCTGACTTTCGAGCAAATGGTCTCGCTTGTTGCATTCTCATGGAAGTTTCAACAAATATTATTACCTTCAACATTGCAAACTCTTTTTTTTTATTCAGTTACCTACGTTCGATTGGACACCAATTCATGTGTAAATCTCTTATGATACAGACAAAAAGAAACAAAGGGAAAAAAAGAAAAAAAAAAATGGTAGGCATAGTACTTACTAATCGTAAGATCCACTCGAAACACATCTCGTGGCTAATAGTACAAGTGGTCGAAGGAATACATACATTCTATTAAGGATGTTATTCACAATGTATCGATGCTGCAGTGAAGAATATAACTGAACCAATAATCACAGGTTTCATATAAATAATTTATTAAATAATAAATAATTTTTTTTTATCGCTTTTAATACCGAGATATCATAAAATAAATAGAGTGTCCCATGAACCGTGGACAAGCGTGTTTGATTTATCAATTAAAAAATATTTTTCGTTACAATTGTATGTAAAAGAGAATCAGAACGTTAAGAAATTCGATGCATCGTGAACTTTTTAATTTGGAAATCCTTATTAATTTAAATTATTCTTATGTTCATTTCTTTCTCTCAATTACTTTGTAATTTCGAATTTTAGTCAAATTGCTGTATCCATTAAATTAGTTCTCAATTAACTTTCAATTTCAAGCGTACACAAACCAATTTTTATCTTTTCAAATGCTTTTAGCAATCCTTTGATTCTCACGTACACGTTTCTAATGTCATCATGTTAATTCAAACAAAAAATCATCCACGCAGAACCTGTGACCATTGCTTCGAAAATTATTCTCTCCACGTGTACATACGTGTCGATTGTGTATGTACCAAACATTTCGATCGATCGAGATCGACGTGACGAATCGTTGATCGTTCTCAATCATCACGATCAAGATTCAACGCCGCGAGCAGTCAGTCGTAAGGATCAGTTGCAAGTATAATTATATGCATTCACAACCATAATACCGTTGCACACATTCTGCTCGGCGAATACTCATGCTTTTTTTTTTCTCTCTTCGATAGAATTCTCTTACCTGTCGTTGGTTCGAGATTCGATTAGCAGCGTCGCTCGATCGGAACGACTGGACTGTTCGTCAACGAATCACTATCATGCAAAAGTTTGACTACGTACGTACTCCAACCAAAAACTGAACCATTCGTCTAAATAGTATCGCTAACTCGGTTAATCTCGAACTTGATACTTGGTTGCTCGGCGATAGTTACGCTGTTTTAATTAATCCAAAGTTGCCATTAATCCAAAAGTACAACATTTCAATGAATAATTTTGAATTGATCAGAAAACGAAATGTCACGACTCGTTTACTGAAATTTATTTCAATCGGGTATCTTCAATTCCTATTAGGCAAATTTTTCACTGTACGTGTTTCCATTGGTGTTAAACTGTACGAGCATAATATAGAGGCGAAGGTAAGGGAGAGCTTTGCTATAAACATTCTGTTACAAAGTTAGAAGCAAATATCGATCGTAACCTGCGAATATACGTATAGCAAATATACGTATATTGTTTTATATTGTTATATTGTAAAATAGAGGTAAAATTGGAGGTTGGCCAGATTTGTTATCTTTGCGTTGTGCGCAGTCGTGTCCGAGTAAAATTTGAAAATGCTTAGATTCTCGTGTCAGACGTTTATCTTCGGCTGAAATGTTGATTAATGTTCGATCGAAAAAGGATTTTTGTTTTGCTGCTTTAATTTGTTTGTTTCGACGCTCGAACCGTTGCTCGAGACAGAATGCTTTTCAAGAATACGTTTCCTCATAGTGATTACTAAACTGCGGATTTTTCTGTATTTGTAGAAAAATTAGACATCTCTGAATAAATGTAGAGAATAAATTATTATTATTGTTCTACTGTTATTATAAGAAATATATATTATTCATTTTACAATATCACAATTATTAAATTACATGAAATTGCATAAAAATCCACAGTCTACACTGCAAGTATGCGATTTGAAATGCTACAGACAGCAAAGAAAATTCAGTGGACCAATTTGTAAACTATTTACTGCTTGAAAAATTTATAACAAACAAACACCTTAGTCCTTTTAACTCTCACCTGTAAATTATACTCCAACAATTTAACCAAAAAAAAATAAATAAATACATTTCTCAAGCTCTACTTCTTCGTTTTTTCCCTCGTTTGTAACTGGTATTTATAATACTCGAATGGTAATTGGAGACTTTGGCCGAGAAAAGAATCCATCGAGGACAACGGTGATACATTTTCAAGATACTTTATTATCTCTGGTTTTTTATTTGGATGAGTTTGCACACCGTTCGGTCGCGAATTTATTGCCTGATCGCTATATGCGCCAGTCAACGATCGACCCGGCCAGAGATGAGAGAGTGAGTCAGTCGTCTTTTATCCGGCCTCGGGAATTACCAAGAATATCCGAGGACGTTTGATAGCAACGAATGATAACGCGGACGAACGTTATTACGATGCACCACGCGAACTGGTGCATCGTGAAAAGTATCGTGGAAGCTTCGAACACACACACACACACACATAGAGTGTTCCGTCTTATTGTCTAACGCGATCTTATCTCGCTACTGAAACGTCGTTGGATGCTTCTAGATAAACCATCGCCGAATAATTGGTAGCCTGAATTGTTGGAACAGCGAGTTGGATAATCGAGTGTTCGGACATGCTCGCGATCGTTGAAAGGATATACGTAACAACGTTGCTCTAAATTGCCAGCGAAGGTGTTTTCTCGTTTGTAAATACAGTTGAGCCGAAATTATGCGAGTCATCTGAGCGTCAGCGTTTTTAAAATTCAATATTGGATGCGTGTTCTGACGACCGCATAGTTTGCGTCTTTGCGCCGTGTAACGAATCGATAAAGACGAAAATACTCGTCTATACTTTAAACTGTTGTAACTTTGTAAAAAAAAGTCGTACAACAATTGGTCTGGAGTTTTTCAAAGACATTTTGTATAAAGAGAATATTTCTTTCCGTGACTAAATGAATATTGAAGATCGAAGTCTTTAAATCTCGCTGTACGATTTTTTATTCTTCCATCGTTTTATCGAGCTTCGAACATTAGATTTAG